ACCCCCCCCCCCCCCGCGGCCGGGCGCAGAGCCTGGGCTGCCACACCTTGGGGTTGTCACGACAACATGAACATGAACCACCCGGCGGCAGCAGCCATGTTTTGGAGCCGGCCCAAACCTGTGACCCCAGCACCCCCAGCCCATCATCACCACCATCACAACGCTCCAGTTGCAGCTACGCAGGGTCACATGACCTCTGCACACCCCCACAGTTCCAGCATGCACCACAGCAGTGGGGGTAGTGGAGTGGGGTCTGTAGGCAGAGCAGGTGGAGGGGCAGGCAGTGGCGAAGGTGGAGGAGCCGACAAACACGGACACACCTCCTCCTCCTCACTTCCTGTAACACAGGGGGCAGCACATCACGCCATGACACCCACTAACGGGAACTTCCTTCCCGGCTACAGCGGGGGCGCAGACTGTGGCATCATGAACAAACAAGGACACAACCACCCGGACATGATGGCCCTATCGGACAGCAGTAGCTGCAACAGTGGTGGGGTGATGGGTGGAGGCTTCCTCGGGGGGCTGGGGTTACCCCCCGGTGTAATTGTTATGGCTATGGGGTCAGCAGGTGGCGCTATTTCTGACGCCAGCAGCGCCTTCCAGATGACGGGCGGCCAGCGAGGCCTTACTGACTGCCAACAGCACCCCACTGCCTCGCCCTGCCCCTCATCTTCCTCGCCATCATCCTCGGTGGTGACGGCGGGCGGCGTGGGTCTGTCGTCTTCTTCATCATCGTCTTCTGGGGCGGCTGCCGCCAAAAGGAAGAGGAAGCGCTGCGGGGTGTGCGGGCCGTGCAGGCGGCTCATCAACTGTGGCGTCTGCTCGTCTTGCCGCAACAGGAAGACTGGTCACCAGATCTGCAAGTTCAGGAAGTGTGAGGAGCTGAAGAAGAAGCCGGGTGGAGGAGGGGGGGCGCTAGAGGTGAGAGTCAACACGTGATGCTCCGGGCCACACAAAAAGAGCAAAGGTCAAATCAGACCAACATGATGTTGGGATTCTTCCAGGAGCTGTGGGAAGGTGGACAGGTTGTCTGCTAAGTGGAATGTCAGGGGTTCGATTCTTGGCTCTACCTCCAACAGATTCTGTCAACGTGTCACTGTATGAGACAGAATAGTGTGTGTGTGGATGTGAGGACGGTAAACAGTACTGGACCATATTGTGTGTGTGTGTGTGTGTGTGTCTTGGCTCATTTAACCCAGATCACTGGCAGTGAGACTGGAGCTTGAAGGAATTTCTTTCCAGCTGGGTGTGTGTGTGTGTGTGTGTTAGTGTGTGCGCAGATGGTGGGTGGTGAAAAGCTCGGAAATCGGTCCCTGCTGAGGTCTGGCAGACTGCCAACACTCACACACACACACACACACACACACACACACAAATGTCTCCACTGATTCAAAGTGATAAAGTGAGCTGTGTGGAAAGAGAGGAAAGTGAGAATATTTATGTGACCCACTCCCACTGTGTGTGTGTGTGTGTGTGTGTTATAAGAATTAGAGGTGATCAATAATTCATTGACACAGTGTTCGACCTCACTGACGACTCTATATATCACACACACACACACACCTCTTTCTGTGGGATTCTTCACAAACTATCACTAATTATCCCCTCAGCATCAACACCTACACACACACACACAACTCCACTGTGTGTGTGTGTGTAGGTGTGTAGGTGTGTGTGTTTCCATTTTAGACAGGGAATTAACAGCCGTAATCTTCCTCAATTACACACTAATTAGTCCTGTGGAGGCTAACAGCCAGTGACAGCCAAGTGCACGTGTGTGTTCAAAGATAAGATCTGTTCATCACACTGAAGGTACTAGCATAATGCTACTTCTAGTTAGCACATCAGAGAATCAAACTGATCAAAAGTCAGCAGTGATGGACAAAGTACACTAACTACATAAACTGTAGATACTCTATGTAAAATATGACTCCAGTAAAAGTCCAAGTATTCATTTTAAATTTCTACTTGAGTAGAAATAGAAAAGTACAAGAACGAAAAGTAAATATACCACATTTCAAGTGGTTCAAGGAAGTTCACAGAAGTTTAATTTAAAATAGTTTAAAACCATTTTTGGTGCTGAAAACAGCAGTCTTTCCTGGTTCATAAACGACTTTTAAATAGAATTGATTTTCGTTGTTAATCAACTATTCATCAGCATTTCCAGAGATGCATTTTCTATATATTTCCAACAAAATAAAAATCCATTTCTGTCTCTCTGAGTAAATGTTTTGTGTTGTTGTTGCAGCGACCGCCTTCCGTCCCGACTGGTGAGGCATTTCGTTGGTTCTTCTAGCAACCTCCACCTACTGGGTCTCAGCAGCTGTACACCCTGAACAGCACCTCGCCATCACCTACGGACAAATGAACTAAGGCAACGGGGAAAAAACCCAGTCGAGGCTGTGCAGTAGGATTTACACTTTGATACCATGTGGATTTTACAAAAAAGAGAATACAATTCCATCCTCCTGGACTAAGATGGTCCAGCAGGTGGATGCAAGGAGGCAGGAGGAGACAGTTTGGTCAAAGGTAGCAGGGTCTGACCAATTGGATTAAAGCTGACATAAAAGGGCAGCACAGAGCTGAACAACATCCTAGCACAAGCTCAGTACTTCATACAACAATTATACAGTACCACCTGTTAGCATCACTGAATGGAAGGTGAAGTAAAGCTTCTGGCACAAAGTGGTTTTTTTGCAGAAAATGAAGCTAGCGCTAAAACGGGTACACAGTGGAACCTCAGATTTTGAACTTAATTCGTGCCGTACCGTAAAGCCAGATCTGAAACACGAGCTCCAATCTCATACTTTCGTATAATCTCTTTATTCACTTCTATTGTTGCTCTCACTACGTTTCTTTCCCATGGTGATTTCTGGAATAAAAAAAATTGAAGAAATAGCACAGCGCAAGAAACACCGGCAAAATCAGACAACAGTTCTTAGCGTGTATATCCTGAGCGCGGGCTGACGCCACACACTCAGTCACCCAGTAACCGCTTTTGGTTAAAAAAAGGGAGGAGTTCGACATCCGAGATTCCACTGTGCTTACATGTAAAAACTTAAAAAAACCTCTCGGGATGCTAGCAACGCCTTACATGCTAAACAGGCTACATGTCTGTCAGAGCAGATCTTAACATCACAGGAGGCAACAGCATACACCGTTAGAACTGTAGAAGGACGAGATCTTGGAAGATCGCTCAGCAGAAACATCATCTTGACTTCTGGATTTCTGCTCTCTAGAGGCTAAAGAAGCTAGCAGTTTAGCCGACAGAACTGAAAGGGAAAAAATGAAAAATAATTGTGCATGTTTGGATTAAAAGAATATTTATAGTGTGATAATTGTCATTGAACCACACAATCTTAAAAAGGACAGCACTGAGCAACACATTGACCAAATAGTCTCTTCCTCCTTCCTCCAATCCAACCTCGCTACGGTACCAAGACCATTTCAGTCTCAACAATCTATTTGACCAAACGTGGACGACGGACAAACCTCAAAGAATTTGTCACCACTGTAGACCGAAC